CTCGGGGTTTCTCTGCATCATAAAACTTAGAAATCAGGATATTTGTAGTAGAACGCATTAGTAACCTGAAGTGGTAATAAACCAGCAAGCTATAGAGAGGGTTATGCTAGGGATTTCTTTGCGTGATAAACTTAGAAATGAGGATATGCGCAGTAAAGTCAGAGTGACCGACATAACCCAACGGATTAGTAAACTGAAGTGGCAATGGGCTGACCATAAAGCTATCGAAGAACCGACAAAAAACCGGTGGGAAAAAAGGTTCTCGAGTGGCAGCTCCGTACCGGTAGGCGAAGAGTAAAACTACAACCCAAATGGAGTGACAACCTGGTAAGCCATACAGGAAGTCAATGTATGCAGATAGTTTAGGTCCGTGCTTTGTGGCATTTCTTGGGAAAGGCCTATGTTCAGCAGTCGACTTGTGGACGACTGTAACGATGATGAAGCTTCCAAAGATTATCTCCTCATCTCGTTGCGTGAATGCTATAATGCCAAACTTTTAACCACTGATAGATATGTCACATTATAAAAATATGTCAAATACTACCAGCTAAACGTATGCGGTTCATTATCTTCATATGATCCGTACTCTAAGTTTCAATAATCATGATTATGATCCACACTTTAAGTTTTGTAATGAAACAATAAAGACCAGTGAAGGGCTTTACAGGGATCACGTGGACGATGATATTTTAATCTGAAAAAAAAATACATTTATTTTATCTCAGTTTTTAGTTTATGTAATTAATTAATCACCTCGCGATTGGATTTTTTGGTCTAGAATTTAGAATTTACCTTTCTACTGCTTATTTTGCATTGGATACTGGATAAGAATTTAAAATTTGAGCACTATCTTCAAAATAAAAGCGGCATATGTGGTTGGTTCTTCAAAAAAAAATAATTTCCCACATTTTTAAAACATAAAGTTATACTACGAGTACTTTTTTGTAACGGCTTAGTGCAATGCCACCTTCATTACTGTGATATGGTCCTTGTTTATTTAAAAAATCTCCGAACAACGTGCAATGAGTGTAGATACATACGTATTTGTTTTATTATACCGAAAAGGGACAGGATCACCATCTTATTTATTCAGTAACGGCATTTTAAATATGTTTGAAAGTAAACACCATCTTCCAGTTATTTGTATAAGATAACTGAAAGACGATCATTTTATCATTATACCTATAGTAAAAATGAAAAATATAGAAACAATATTTTCATTTATCTCTAATATCAAATACTATATTATCTCAGTTATGACTAAAGGCACAGTAAAGTTAATGCGGCATTTTTGTAGGACGTCGATTCAGCCGCGCAACCAGATTAGTTTATTGAGCAGTGCGGCTGTAACTAGTTTTATGGTTTTATTGTATCGCAAAGGACCGCGTGAAGTTATACTTTGGCAGAGGGGAACGCCAACGTATGACTACACCCCTTGTTGCTCTGTAGTTGAAACTAATAAAATTCTTACATAATCACTTCTGTCGACCAACCCATGTAATATATTATATTTTTATATAGGTGTGACGTCGACAGAACTGACAAAAATTTAATTAAGCTAGACTTATAGATAACTTTAAACTAGGAAATGTTTTTAAATCTTTCTTTGACCAACAAACTACTTTGATATCCCGAAGCCACCTTAAAATTATTTTGGCATGTGGCTTACGTCTAAAGTAGACTTGGACAAATTATCAATTCAAAAAATCAATTGTCCAAGTTTTCTATGAATTTACTTAAAGTGATACTTCGAAATTGCTCTGTGCTAAGAGCGTGCCAAATTCAAAACCACAAATAACTTTTAGTATTAATTGTAATAGAAAATTCTATTCTTTTTATTTCCATCACTTTCTATCCACTTTATTTTACTCAACATATCGAATAATGCAACAAAAGTTTTGTAACAGACATAGAATATTCTGCAACATCTTATTTTATTTACTTTAATTTGTTTCATATACTTTGAAGTTACTAATATATATTTATTTGGAAGTAATAATTTGATAATTATTACATTTTTATAGAATATTTAAACATTCGGAAGACGTTCGCAAACAGTCAAATGAGCGTGACATATTTTCGACTAAGATTCATTCGTAAATAATGTTAATTTTCAAGTAGTTTATATACAGAATCGAAGATAATGACACAATTTACTTGGTAGAGCCATGCTGCAGCTATATTATGATTGTAGCATTAATGGATTGGCTCGACCGGGGAAGGACCAAGCTCTCATAGAATAACAACGTAAAATAGCAGCTTAGTGCTGCTGTATTTCGTGTTGTGAATGTAGAGGACCTGAGACTCTTTTTGCGGACTCTTTTGGATACAACAGTATCCTATATACACAGTATCCTCTTACAATCCTGTCAGGTGGACTGTGTGCTTATTCTACCCCTTATTCTATAAAAACACACTTGCTTTTAATAAGATATGACTGTTCTAAGCTTCTACTGAAAAGTCTAGTTTATAGAATGACTCTGAAAAGAAAAGTGTGCTCTCGGTCAGAGAAAAATATTAACGCATTTTACTACCCAGGATTTTACTCGCTGAAGTCAGGAGGTGTTTTAAATTCGCCGCTGCTAAAATCTACCCGGTCTACTCTTTCTATATTTTGCTAGCTGCAAAATGCCGCAAATGGTTAATTCAATAGCAGTTCCTGCCTCTGTGTACACTGAGCTGTAACACTGATGGATTATTGATAACACAACGATTTCTTACTTTTAATTATTGCTAATTTATATCAAAATGCGTGTGTTTCATCACTCGCCTAAAATCCTGTATGGTTAACGCGTAAAGACTACAGGAGTAAAGTGGTTTTTGTTAGACTAAATCGCAGACCGTTTTGTCAAAACTAATCATGTTTCTGTTAGCGTGACTTGCTACTCGTATATATTTTTAACATTGTATTTTTGTGGGATATAAACACTTATTATGTTCTTTTTTACTTTTACTTAGCCTCAGGTCTAATTTGTGAACAACATGTGTAATAACTCAAATTGTTGATTTTTGAGTCTGGTTGTTCTATAATAGTGTCTCTGACATATCCCAGTTATCGTCTTTCCGCTCTATGTAAAACCAGTACGCAAGAATGGGAAACTGATTGCGTATAGTTTGGAATTCTAATTTCGCAGTGACGTGTAATAAACTTTCCAACAGCAAACCGTTTCCTTATTTGCAAAAAACAAACGAGTATTTAGTTTGAGCGATAAAATATGTCGAGAACATATGAACTCCGACAACGTACATGGCAACATTGTGTGTAGGTACTTATTACTCCATAATCCACTCGTATAGGCCTCTGTCAAGTAGTTTTTTTATGGGAGCGGGTGAAAAACGAGCACACAGTCCACCTGATGGTAAGTGGTTGCTACAGCCCATAGACGTCTACATCCAACCTCGATTACAAATCAAAATGAAGATTCGTAGTCACCCGTGAGGACAAAGAGGAATGCCTCGTTTCGGGTAAAAAGAGTCTCCGATTCTCTACAGTCGCCATACGAAACACAGCAGCATTAAGCTACTATTTCAAGGTGGTATTCTGTGAGAGCGTGGTTCTCCTAGGTCGAGCCGACCCATTCGTGTTACAACTACACTACTAATATAACTGTAGCATGGCTCTACCTCGTATAAAAAAGTAGTAAGATGCATATACTGTCTTACTTTACTTTTACATATATATTTATACTTTACTTTTTTACATATATACTCGGTATTTTTGTTAAATACTTAACAAAAATACCGAGTATATATGTACATATATATACCATTGACTTTTAATTTGTATATGAAAAGATTTTTCTAACAGGCATATATTGTCATATTAACACTACATTTCTCAATACATTTAAAGTAATTATTAAACCAGAACGAAATGGTTTTCAAAAACAGAAAGAGAAATCTTATTAAAAATGATACTAATTTTATTGATTCCTGTCTCAGACGTGTTTTTGATATAAGTTTTATTCTTCACTCTGGCTTTAGGATCACCGCTACGCTATGTCGCATTACGATTGCAAACATTATAATCAATCTGAGAGAGTCAAAAAGAGCATCTTATGAACTACTGGACTTAAGCAGCTTTGAAAACATCAGAACGATGGATATAAAGCCAAAAATGCTGCTGCTTTATTCGGGAGCTAATTTTGTTTATAATTTATTTTTTCTATTATTTCCACATGATTTACAAAAATACGTGTAGATTCACATTACCACATACCTAAAATGTACCATCACACGCGATTAACGCAGATTCCAGATACCTAGAATCTGAATTAATCGCCTATGATGGTGCCATAAAAGAACCGTTTTATCCCGTGGGTATAGTAAAAGACAAAGGCAAATGTCTTTGAGCTATCCGATTATTAGTTAATTTAAAAAAAACAACCCTGAACTGACGGCTCTCAAAGGACTAAAATTTGCTTAATTGCCTCGATGATGGCGAACCTGTTATGGCAATACTTGTAAATTTGAGATAAGACTAATTCTAGCGGTGTGTTGTGGTGATTGATGACAGCTTTTATAAATGTATTTGTTAACACATCGAGAAAATAAAAATACTGGTATAGTTGTAGCACGAATGGGTTTACTCAACCGGGGAAAGACCACGCTCTCACAGAACACCAGCGTAAAATAGCAGCTTAACGCTACTGTGTTTCGTATGATGTGTGTAGAAAACCGAAGACCCTTTTTACTGGTAACGATCTTAGTCCTGATCGGTGACAACGCAATCTGCATTTTGATTTGTAATCGAGGATAGATATCGATGTCTGTGGGTCACAGCAACCACTTAACATCAGGTGGACTGTCTGCTCGTTTGTCACATTTATCCCATAAAAGAAATTGTATTTGGATAATCATTGTGATGTAAAGAAAAGTATTCTGGCAATTATCTCACGCAACGATCGATGTGAAGTTTTCGTATGAATCATTAAGTGCTTTTTAAAATAGGTTAAGATATGTATATTTTTCTTTAATAACATGTTGTATAATTTTAACAGTTATACCTCCACACGAGGAAGCGCGCCAAGCAGTCATCCGTGAACTCGTAAACACCGAGGCCGACTACATTAAACACATAATGGCTTTAGTCGAGGTAATATATTCTTAGAGTAATTTTGAAATTTAATATTAGCTTATTGCAACTATTTTGTTTAACTTTTTTTCCGTAGTTATTCGATTATACTTAAAAAAGATGAATCAGATAATGATTATGCCGAATATCGGATACCTAAATGTCCGGCAAGGTTAAAACTGGAGCGAATATTCGACCGCCGGATATTTAGTAAAACTTGTAAGTCACAAAAAGTTGTGACTAACATCGTATTTGTTGAAAATTCGTTTTACACTAAAAGCTAAGTTATAAAAAACTTTGTATTCGCTGATCTCGTATAAAATGAAACGAAGAAATCTTTATTTTATTTCGGATCGGACGGACCCGTGGACAGCTCAGAACCTTGGCTTGGTACATTGTAGAACAATAGTCTAGATACTAGATAACCATTTCTATCAGTTATCCATACTATCTCTGCACAGGGACGACTTTTGGTTCTCCCTTTGCATTCAAATCGACTACAAGTAGTGTGAATGTTTCATGTGATACGTTAAGTTTCTGGTTAGATTACTACGTAAAGCACTCCACTTCCTTGTTTCCCAAGTAAATGGGTTCCGATGGAACTCCCCAATAAGTACGAAAGACGTATTGTCCAGAGTTGACCCCGGCTCTTATCCGTCTTTATCGGTACCCCTACTCTCTAGGCGTTGTCCCAAAGTAATAGAAGATAGCTTTAGCGTATCCAATCTAATTAATATCTATTATCTCATGAGACACCTTAGGGATATCAGCTGATTAGTACAGTACAGTTTTTTTTTTATATATATAGAATAGGGTGACAAACGAGCACACAGTCCACCTGATGGTAAGTGGTTGCTGCGGCCCATAGACATCTACATCTATCTTCCATTACAAATCAAAATGCAGATGCGTTGTCACCCGCGAGGACTGAGATGGAATGCCTCATTTCCAGTAACAAGGGTCTCCGGTTCTCTACACTCACCATACGAAATACAGCAGCATTAAGCTACTATTTGACGCTGGTATTCTGTGAGAGCGTGGTCCTTCCCCGGTCGAGCCGACCCATTCGTGCTACAACTATACTACTAATATAACTGCAGCATGGCTCTACCACGTAGTTTACGTCGGGGATGCTCATCTGGTAATATTCTTGTCTATCTGACACACCGATTGGTAAAGAATACAACCCCGGATTAAACAATCCTCATAAAGCACAGATTTGTGCATTCACCTCTAAAAAACAAACCCTTCACTTCACTTTTCTCTTGAAAGCATTCCCGGTATCGCCTCAGCTTCATTTTAACTATGAATTCTTGCTGGGTTTTTAAAGGAGTAATAAAAAAAATTAAGTAACTCGACTTCAACGCCTCCTATCTGGTTCACATTCGGAGTTTTTGTTTTTAGCACTAATCCTACATATTATACTATGAATATGAGTCATTTTGATTCATAAATAAAAAATTTGTTATTAAATTGCAAATAGCAGAAACTATTGAATCATAAAACTGTAAGTTTTTTTTTTTTATAGAAGAAGGGGCAAACGAGCATGCGGCTCACCTGATGTTAAGTGACTACCGCCGCCCATGATCAACTGAAACACCAGGGGAATTGCAGGTGCGTTGCCGGCCCTTTAGAAAGGAGTAAGCTCTTTTCTTGAAGGTCCCCAGGTCGTATCGGTCCGGAAAAATCGCCGGTGGTAAACTATTCCACATATACAGTATAGCTATGAACCACAGTCTCGACCGAAATAATATTATAAGTAACAAAATCACCACGATTATTTAGTATGTAACAAATCTATTCGATCCGTGAAGATGCTTAGTACCTTGCTTGCATTTCTGTAAGTCTTTCTTTTCAGACAGTGAATAAAAATTATCTCCTAAAAATAAAATAAAATTTACATAAGACTCCGCGGCCGTCGGGTAACAATACCTAGAGGACACGACTTTGATCTTTTCTTGTTTACCAGGCTTCATTCATCAGTTTATCGTTTGTTCGTTAGAAACAATGATTAAAAGACGCAAACGCTGCATAATTGTGGTCACTCCGAATACCGTCACCAACGACGGACGACAATTTTTTTAATCTCGCACTTCAAAATTTGCTGAATTTTAAGTAAATTGTGTAAAAACATGTATTATGAATAACAATAATAAGTAGCAATTTCTGGATTTCGACAACAGCGCCACCTACCGGGTCTAAATGTATATCTAAACCATCTAGTGACCCATTCAAACACACAAAAATCTATTGAAAGTCGGTCGAGCCGTTTTTGAGACAAACGGGCAGCAATTGTTTTTTATATATTTAGAGATATTATTTTTATAAATTATACATTGTGACACCTATGTTTTCTTTTCGAATCGGAGAGGATTTATCACACAATGTTATTTTTTTATAAGATAAACACAAAAGCGAATTTATAAAATGTGTACTCAATGTGAACTAAAATTATTATTCCTTTTCATTTGCAATAGCTTATAAAGCTTTTACTCGACTCGTTATGGGATATCTCCAAGTAATTACTAATGTAATTTCAACCCGATAATAGGAGCTAAAGTACCTATGAAGAACCTTGCATTAATATTATTGTTGCGGAAATAAGAGAGCTAAGAAAATTCCGTACTATAACTTTCCCACTAGCACCATCTAGTATCTAGTGGGATAACTACGACAGCTTTCTACACCTAGTCGGTCGGGACCGATATGTACTCGAACATTCTAAATATTTCATGAGAAAAGGTCCTATATAAGCCTGGTAGACCGCGACCCGGGTCAGTATTGAATTGGTGATACAAGAGAAAGAAATTCGCAGTTATATCGCTTCGAAGCGATATAACTGCGAACTAAAGTGTTAAGTGTGATTAATTATTATTGTGTTTTAAGTTGTAATTGGTGTTCGGGAATTAAAGTGTGAATTTTGATAATTTAATCGGCAGTTTTTACTGTCACTAACCCCAAAGCTCGTAACATTATACATGCATGGTTCAAGATTCTGGTCCCCTCCCAAGGAATTATCGTCTTGTACGTAACCCATAATATCATTAACTTATATATTACTAGCGTACAAAATATTGACTCTTTTGCGCCAAATGTTTAGAATAAAGATACTCGAGATATTTAGAGACGTGCAAAAACACGAATGCGTTGAGGTTTACCTTAATTGGATGAATAGGTACGGAAATGAAGGGATTTGAAATAGAATTTATATGTGATGAAAAGTGGACTCTTTACGATATTTCCAAGTGAATACTGATGGCTGAACCCAAGTAAAATGCTGGTCCAATGCCTAAAACTAAATCTCACCCATAGAAAAGTTTTGGTGGTCACTTCATGGTTTCTACAGTTTATCATAGGTTTTTTTTAAGTCCGGTGTAACACTAACAGCAGTTTCCTATTGAGGATAACTTCGAACAATGATGGCGAAACTCTTAAGAGGAACAACCTCAACTCGTCGATGCATCTCCGCAATTATTGTTTCATAATAACATAAGGCAATTCTCTAGAAACTGTTTTAACATTACAAGATCTACAGGTGGAAACCATTCCCCAAACGAGTTTAGAAAAAGAAAGAGAAAAAGTTTGATCTCTGGAATCGGCACAAACATTTTCATAGACTTTGATAGAGTTCAGATCTCTATAGTCTTATCACAAAGGCATAAATGATGTTTCTTCTAGGTGGCAGTACTGAAACGTATAGATACATACTGACAACGTATAGATAATGAATGAATTAAATAAACAAATATTATATTTATTTTACAAAAAAAAAAGAAAATTACAATATAAATCATACTCTACCCCTTAATTACTTATAATTAGCGTTTGTATCTTCATAATACCTTAACAATACGCAACAATACTAATAATTTTTAAATAATAATTTTTTAAAAATTATTTTAGAACTATTCATATTAGAATTATTTTTTTTACATTGTATAGAACTAATTTGACCAATTTAACTTATTTCACTTATTTTTAATTACTGACATTTCGGGTGTTTTACAGCACCCATGTATACAAATTTTTGATGAAGTATTGCAATTTGTGCAATAAATGATTACCATGCAATGGTATGCAATAAAAATGCAAAAATCTAAAGCACTCAAAACTACGGCAATAAAACATTTTTAAAATAAAAACGATCAAATCCGAGAAATTTGTTTTATTAAAGCAGGGGCTCTTGTTGAATACAAAACATTGTAGTCACTCATCCTATATTAATTAGATAACATAAACTAGCTTTGCTTTATACAATTGCAAATAAACTGAGCAAAATGTAGTCTTTTTATAATATATAATAACATTATGAAGAGGAGTTGCGTGAAAGGATATTATTATATAGAAATTGTATGAGAAAGAACAACATGAAAGACTTGAATAGTAATATATTATTCAAATTGTTATAATTTGTTTAGAATAATTATGTAATACAAATTTAAATGTTTAAATTACATTTTGAATTTTTTGATAATTTGTATTTAATCTCGATATATAAATATCAATTGCTGTAGGTACATTAGTCTCGCTAAAACTCAAAAACGGCTCGACAGATTTTGATGAACGTTATTGTATGTGTTTGAATGGGATGGTTTAGATTCACATTTGGATCCGGTAGGAGGCGCTGTTGTCGAGATTCAGAAATCCCACGTGTGAAACCGGGGCGGATCGCTAGTATATTTTTTTTAAATCACATAATAATTGAGAAATCGGACTGAAATTTATTCCAGGTGGTAGTACACATGTTACATTTATGCGTGGTAATCGATGTCCTTCATATTACCACCACAAGCATGACGGCAGTTACCGATTCTTTGGAATCAATTTTCAATTACTCTTTCACACATATCAGCTGGAATGCTGGCAATTTCACGTTCGATATTGTTCCTGAGCTCCTTTTAACTTGTTGGATTGGCATAACCCTTCTACTTAAGGTAACCCCATAAAAAAAATCCAACGGCGACAAATCGTATGAGCGAGGTAGCATTTCTCTATATTAAACGATTACCAAGTTTTCCTTTCAATAAATCAACTAATTGACCAACTGTGTGATTTGTTGGAACCACATATCGCTGATGTCAAATTCATACAATTCGGGCCAAAAATAGTCTTCCAACATGGTACGATAGTGAACTCCATTAAACATAGCACGGTGATTGTTTTTATCAACGAAAAATACGGCCCTATCACACCCCGGCAAGAAATCCACACCACACGCTCAATATTTGTGGGTGCAATATAGTCTCATAAAGCACATGTGGGTTTGTTGCTGTTCAATAACACTTGTTGACAAAGCCATATTCTACTTATTGCCAAAGCTATCCATCCAAAAATGAGCTTCGTCGCTGAAGATGATTTTTCGATGAAATTCAGGATTTTCTCCAATCTTTTGGAGAAAGAAATTGGTTAAGCTTCGGCGCTTTAAATAAACCTAAGGTTTCAGTACATCGGTTGATTTGATCTTGAAAGGTTGCTGGAGTTCTTTACGCAAAATTCGCCATAATGTGCACTGAGAAATTACCAATTCTTGTGAACTGCGTGGAATTGACTTGTTTGGTTCATATTGAACTGAAGCTCTTACGGCTATAAATTTTCAGTATTTCGACCGGTGCATTGTCTCACTGGCACAAGAACATTCAATAGTGAGTATGTTGATTCAGTATCGCACAACTTGTCTGATGGGACGATTATTGCTACCAATAATTGGAATAAACGCTATTAAGGTTGCAACTACCGACTCAGAATTTCGGCAGTAAGTTTCAACGATTTCCAAACTTTACTCGTCCGTGAACTTCACCATGATAAAAATATAAGCCTATGCTGACGTTTTGATTTTGACATATCATAAAACGTTTGTAAGTTATGTTCCGTACTATAAAACAAAATTATTATGTCTCCATTGGAAACCCCTTTACTTGTTATCTCCTTCTGAACAATTGGTTCGAATAATTTGCAGTCGAAGTAAAAATCGCGGGTCAGAAATATAGTAATTAAAAAAGTGGAAATTTCTGGCGTTGTCATGATGAAAGACCCCCGACCAGACTCCTTTCCTGTTGATCCATTCCGGCCGTTTTTCTCAATTTATTGCTTGAGTCTAATTAGTTGTCGGCAGTAGAATCCGAATTGATGGTCTTGCCCAGCGGTAAAAGCACATAACTAAACGACGTCCTTCCTATCCCTACTACATATACATTACGTTATTGCGTATTATAATCCGGGTTTCGCTACAGTCTGTGGAGCTTGACTACCCTTTGATCATGATTTTTTCGCACGTTCTTGTCGTATGTGATCTACTTTTCATCACCAGCGATTAATCTTTTCAAAAATGGTTGGGTTTCATTACGTTTCAATGGAGAATGGCGAATGAGGACACGATTCATTAGGTTTCTTTCGGTGACCTCGTTTGGTACCCAAATATCGAGTTAATTTGTATAGTCAGACTTTTTCAACTGGGTCAATATTGTTTTGTAATCAATCCTCAATTTCTCGGCTATGTCGTTACTAATATGGCAATCTTGCTTTATTTTTTTTAAATGGCGTCGACTTTATCCGTATGAAAGCAACCAGAGCGAGCTGCATCTTTGACATCAAAATTCCCGATCTGAAAACGCTTGAACCAACTTTGTGCTCCTGTTACTGATACCGCATTTGGTCTATAAATGTCACACATGTTTTCACGACTTGAGTCGCATTTTTCCGTTTTTTTATAATAAAACTTCAGAATGTTTCAGAATTGGTTTCTTCGTTGGATTCACTCATTTTGGCGGACAGCAAAACAATTCAAAAATGGCTGATAACTGTTTTTTACATTTCCTTTTTCTTTTTCTTAATGTCCTCTATGTATTGATATTAAAACGAGACAGATAAAAACAGTACAACTAAAGAGATTTTTCTTCAATTTTATACAAACAAAATACGAGGAAACTTTTTCCTCGACCTATTACTTCTATCCATTTTCTTAAGTTTTTCGTATTTAATATGTTAAATAGTATGTTTTATATTTAATAATAACTGCCATCTGTGTGAAAAATAATTTATACTCCACAGAAAATAAAAAAATTATGACATAACTGTTTTATACAGGTATTTATGGCTGCAGCGCATTCTCTCCAAGACAGTGGTTTCATTCTGGATGTTGACACAGAGCGTCTCTTCTCAAACATTCCAGATGTACTGAACGCCAGTCTACATTTCTGGAACATGACTTTTTACCCTATGTTGATCGATGCTGTAGAAAATGACACGATGTAAGTATATTTTATCTAAATCTTATATACTCTTAAATTTATAACTATCAAACTAAAAAATTTGATTGAAAAGTCCAAAAGTTCTCATTCGTTAGTTAAACGTTTACTAATGGTCGGTTAACTAGGCCATCAGCCTAATTGATCTAGTGATAGTTACCGCGGTCGCTAATCATGAGCTGCTGGGTTCAAATTCTGGATTATTGCTGTCAAGAAATTCTCAAAAAGAGCCCGGAGTCAGGAAATTGGCGGTGTTTCACTCCTGTACTTTGGAAAGCACGTAAAGCCAGATCCTGCGCCTGTTCTCTCTCTTTGGTCGGAAAATAGCAAATAAAATAAAAGGATGCAGTATGAGTAATTAGTATAAATTAAAGTGCTGACTTTAGCAGTAATAATTATTTAAAGAAGTTCAAAAGCGATGTCCGAAAGAAGCGGACTCTTAAGATTCTGATTATAGTAAAAAATAAAGCAATCTCTAGGTATTTATGTCATATATTTTTAATACTAATCCGTATTGCAGAACTTAATAAAAGTATTAGGCGTATTCATTAGTTTCCACATAATGTAATGGCGATGTTTATCGCGTGTAGGTTCGATTTGAAAATAATATACTCGATGAATGTGAGCGAGACGACCTGGTATGAGATCGATGGATGCAAGTGGCTCTAGACGATTCTTTGTGCTGTGGCTTGTGAGGGCTGTAATGATAACGATGTTGAAGATCCGTGACCTTGACATGTCAACAGTCAACCACGTTTTGATGTACGAGCTTTGCAATATATTAAAAAAAACTGTAAATTACCTAAGTAGTTCCTACTATATACTTACAATTATTTGTAAAATACAAAATAAAAATGAAATGAATTTATTTCAGACTTTTGGTCAATAAAAGCTTTAGAACAAAATATTTATTTACAATCTATGTTAGTAAACAAAAAAAACTACACATTAATTTAAATATTTTCTGAAACAGTTTGTGACACTTGGTGGTTGGACGAATGTGTGTATACCAGAGTGCTCATAAATGGACAGTCTGGGTTATCAATGACGACCTCCAGAATAATGATGGAGCTACCTCACACTCCTCGCATGAGAGACGCGATTTGTTTGCTTATGTATAGCGCGAAAGCCGTCAGTATGCCCTTGCGCAAACATTCCTGATGCACTGCAAAATCGCCGAAGTCCCAACATCACTCTTAAGAAATTTTTATATAGAACTCGACAGGCCAACATGATGCAACGGACTGCCATCGCCCTCCTTTCCCTTTCAATAGCACTGTCATTCTTCAAAGCCCTCGCTAGAGCCAGATTTTTAAATTTACTGGTGGAACACAAGGCACTTTACATCCTTTCACCATGAGCCCACTCTTCCTTGCATTATAAATAACGTCATGTGATTGCGCAAACTGCTCACAAATTAAAATCAATTTTCTCAGAGCAGCGTTTGAGGAACACAGCAGCATCATGTTGTAGCCGCAACTGATGCTATTGACACAGTGTCCGTCAAGAGAGCATCTGACCCGTGCGCTGCTGAATTCCACTATCAGCTGGTTAATGTACGGGTTAAAAATTGAGGAAGAACTGAAACCACCCTGGCCCACTCCACATTCCATCCCGTATTCATCAGATAACTATTCAAGCCACCTGACCTGATTAGTCTGATGACCATACCGGTACACCAGCAGGAAAATCAACGTCAGTCCGCTTAGCCCAGAGTATGTCATAGCTATTCATTTCAAATGCCTTCTACAGATTAAAAAAGGCAGCATATACGCATGTTTTCCTATCCGTGTAGCACCTGACAATGTGCTTGAGAGAAATAATCACACATTCTGTAGATAGGCCAGGTCTAAAACCAAACTGGGCATCATGTAATTCTAGATGTTTTATGAGCTGTCTATCAAGCGCAAACCATCAACACCTTAGCAGTCACCATAGCTAATGAAATTGGTCGGTAATTGGTTTTATTGAAGACATCCCTTGTCTTATTCTTTACTATAGGAACCACGATCTTCTCTTTAACTCAGCTGGCAGGTGGGAATGACGCTTACAAATTCTAAAGGGCATACCCAAAAGTCTCGGTAAGTACGATCCCGAGTAAGTAATAGAAAATGCTCTATGCTGAGGCCTCCGTGCCCCAGCGACTTGCCCCGCGTCATACGCTTTATTACCAAAAACCCCTCTTTAGAAGTATTGCGATCGGGCACGTCAGTTACGACCGCCTCTACATTCAAACTTTTCCCACCCTTACTATTACAATTAGAAGGTTATACTTGAAAGTGAATCTTGGACAAGTCGACAATATCTTTTAGGTCACTGATACTTTCAATGCTAGACTCAGGAGTTATCTTTTTTTTTTGTTTCCAAAACTCCAAAAAATCTTTATCTTTATGTTTAGATGCCAAAAAATTACTTTTAACCATTTCCAGTCAAGAACAGTTCAATAGTCTTTTATATCCACACATATCATTATACAGAGGACCAATACGTGGCCTACCATACTAAACCCAATTTAGAAACTTTTGCCTGGCATCCCGATTAGCACCCCAACATGTTTGTATCCCGTATAGGTGAGCACCGCAGCTTCTTGTAGTTATGTTAAAATTTTTTGATAGTACTTACCTATTAAATCTGTGCTCTAAACATTAATTTGTACATACAGCATCACAACCAGGTATACCTCAAAATCTGAAAACTAGATTGTACAACCAGTGCGTGACGCCAGTGATGACTTACGGATCTGAGACGTGGTCCCTCACGGCTGGCCGTGTGAGGAGCGAGCTATAGGGAGGGCTATGCTCGGGGTTTCTCTGCATGATAAACGTAGAAATGAGGATATCCGCAGTAGAACCAGAGTGACCGACATAGCCCAATGGATTAGTAAGCTGAAGTGGTAATGGGCCGGCCATTAAGCTTGAAGAACCAACAACCGATGGGAAAAAAGGTTCCCGAGAGGCAGCCTCGTACCGGTAGACGTAGTGTAGGGCGACCCCCCACTAGATGGAGTAACGACCTGGTAAGACATACAGGAAGTCGATGGATGCAGGTGGTTCAGGACCGTGCTTTGTGGCATTCCTTGGGGGAGCCCTATGTTCAGCAGTGGAATTGTGAAGGGCTGTAATGATAATGATGATGATGATAGCATCTCAACAAGAAATTAATTTACAGGAAAAATCTTTTTTCTCAAGTATTTAAAACAACACTAAAAAAACAACGTGAAGCTCTGTCTCTGGTGGCCATCCCAATTTGGAGGAATTGGTCCTCCCAATTCCTTCAAATGACTTTGCTGGAGTTGTCACTAGATGCACTTGGCAGCTGAAGCGTAGGCGACTAGTAAAGCCTTCATTATTTGTTTCAGTTTCAACTCCGAATTTATGGCTCTGGGATTTTGTCAATTCCGAGAACTTTTACATCCATACGAGAAATATGTTAATGGACAATCAAAGGCCATAGAATACTTACGCTCTCTATCTAACAACTCTGATTTTATGACTTATCTTGCTTGGTGCCATAAGCAGAAGGAGTGTAATCGGTAAGGCGACAAGATATTAAATACCATAATCTTAGTATTTAGTGGGTTGAGGCTCAACAGTGTGCTCAAATGGTCCACCACCCTCAGTAGATAAAGCAACCAGCTTATGACAGTGAATATATACAAGGATGTATGTATATATATATATATATATATATATATATATATATATATATATATATATATATATATATGAATTATAACCGTGCGAGTTTTAGGAGGTATCAATAAAAAGTACAAGCGGGCCACATTTCCTCTATCTGGTATGACTACGTACAGAGATGTGTCGGATCGTAGCAAATAAAAATGCCTATCACTCTGGGTAACACACGTAAGTTTATGTATTATAATTGAATCAAAATACCTAATTGTTTTTAAAATTAACTACGCATATTCCAAATTTGTAATTGTTGTTTTTTGGCTGATTAAGTAACTAGTGAAAGGAAAAGTCTCTCACTCGGTTGCTCCCAGCTAAGGTGTCTTTGCAATTTCTTTTAGTGGTGCAATTAGGTATTTACTTTTAGTTAGTGAAATTAGTTTACTTTTTGATGATCCTGTCTTCATACGGATAAGCTATACACAATTTTGCAATGCACTACCTATTATTTCTCTGAATAGTTATTGAAGCTCATACTCAACAGTGATCTTAAAAATAATCAAAGGTTTACTATTTTTATAACATAGTTAAGTCATATAGAGAAGATAAGAAGAAATATTAACTTTATTTTTTTCAGTCTCCAGCTATCGGATATGTTAGTTAAACCAATGCAACGTCTCACAAAATACTCATTAATTCTACGCAGAATTATTGTCAACACCGACTTCGAACCGGAGAGAACATCGCTCATTGCTATGGTAATTCTTTTTATTTTATTTTTTCATATTTAACTTATACGACGTAGCCTAATAGCTGAAAATATTAACAGATATGACGAACATTCAACGGCACTAATTGTCGTTAAATAGTGTAATTGATACATACTCAATCTGTATTTTATGTAAAATTTGACGATTATGTGGCTTATCTTCTAATATAAATGCAATAAAGTTTTGCTTTGACTGAATATTTGTGTAAGAATTACTTGAAAAAGGAAAACCAATGAGTGTGCATATATTTGCAATAATTTGTTAAAATATGTGCTCCATGCCGAATTTCGGTCCCTACACAGGACATGTTCATAGTTCATAAGTGTGTTCCCAGACACAGGTGTAGCCATAGGCGCTGTCCTATTGTCATCGCTCGCGCGATGCGATGCGTCCGACGAAAATGATCGTGCGGCCGTGTGTTTAAACATACTCATATCTGCGGAATGTCCTATTGAACGTCGTGCGATCATGCGATGCGACTGAAGAAATCGCGCGTGCGGATTCATCGGACGATGAAATCGCATCGCATCATCGTGCGAGCGATGGCAATAGGACAGCGCCACAGTCCGCTGAACGTCTTTACGTGTTTTCCGCGACACGAGAGCGGAACACCGCAAACTTCCTCACTTCGAGCTGTTACTTGAGAATTTCTTGACAAAAAACTCATTTAACTGATTTTGTCCGAATTTTGTGCCACAACATAAGCAGTCGCGCTTATAACCACTAAACCGATGATGATGTGTGCTTGCGCGCATACACTTAAGAAAATGTGATCGTCTCCGACTGACCGAAAGACTAGTCGCCGTGACCGAAATGTGGACATTATTATTATTAGTATCAAAACTCAATGTGATAACTAGAATATCGTCTAATAGTTATATCAAAATTTCATTTCCTGTTGTTAGACCTTATGAGACGAACTTTATTCTTCCGCCGATGAGATTGGCTATTAATAGTTATTTTAATCGGTTCACAACTGATGAAGATACCTAAGTACTTACAAAAATACAATAGAAGTAAGAGCCTTCTTTTTCTAACTCAAATAAAAATAAACAATTTCTTTTTTTAATTATAAGCCCTTACATTGAGGGGGCTGCCCCTTCAATGCAAGCACTCACCGAATCTGTAAAAACTCGATGAAACATTGCGCGCGGTCGGCTGTTGAATATTTATTTTTAATTGAGCTATCAATACTCCTTTGTTAAAGCTTTACGTGTGATTTAAAATGTACGTTGCGTATATGTTGCAAAGAAGTTTGTAGTGTAGCCAAATACCAACTTTGCTGAATTGATCCTGGATTTGTACGGAATATGTTACTCAACAGTCGATGTTGAGACCGTAGCCTCGAACTTTTAACTCAAGACCGAGTTACACTTTCGCTGCGACATTAATTTAGGTATAATGCAAATTCTTATTTAGGTATAAATCGAAATAAACTCTTGACAACAAAGCACAAATCACCATTTGTGTAAAATTGTTTGACACAAAATGCATAAAACGTTCCATAATAACTGAGACTCCATTAACCTAGCCTCTAATCCCCAATATCTGCGTCCCGCTCTAATATACACACATGTCTAATATCAAACTAGTAACTAAAAGTATTTAAAAAATCCACTCACAACACAATCCATCACACACAAAACATTTCAATAAAATCGGTCAATCCGTTTCTGAGTTTTAACAAGACTATCGGACACCAATTGATTTTTATATATAGAATATATAATATGTTCAAAACTATAGAAGACAGATTTCAAAAAAAAAACCCAGATGCGTAGTCACCCCTGCGAACTAAGATAGAATGCCTCGTTTCCAGTAAAAAAGCGTCTCCGGATCTCTACATTCACCATATGAAACACAGCAGTATTAAGCTGCTATTTTACGATGGTATTCTGTGAGAGCGTGGTCCTTCCCCGGTCGAGCCGATCCATTCGGGTTGCAACCACAATATAGCTGCAGCATGGCTCTACCACGTATAAGTATATATCTTTTTATGATAATTGAAAATCTGCAAGGAGGTGACAGTTCGTTCAGTGACGTTCTTGTAGCCTGAGAGCGGGAGCAAACCTTGCTATGCCACTAGACATATTTTTATTAGAAAAAAGAAAAATATCATTGATACGTCAAACCAGTTTCTAAAGAAATATTATCAACATTATCTTCGATATTTCAATAATACATGTTTCATATGAATAATTCAAGACAGATTTTGTTATTCTGAAAAGCACTTTATATCGGTAATAATATAATCGTCAAGGAGTTAGCATTAAATAACTGAAACAAGAGAATATCAACACAATCCGAAAACAGTTCCATTATAGCTTTGATTACAAAAATAAACTTAATTGTATTTAGTGTATACTACCCATTCCGATTTCTGTTGAAAGGTCACAAAAACAAAGATTTTATTAACGAACTCAAATATTTTACACAGGAAACATTTGCTAAAAACTACTTGTTGGATATTAACCGCTCCATACGACAACGCGAAGAATTAGAAAAACTTGATGCATTGGCCAACAGTGTCGACACTTTTGAAATTGTAAGTACATTTTCAAATGAATCACTTTCTCTCTCATCATTATTTAAAAACATTCATATTCATCGACTGATCCGTCTCGTCTGGGCAGCGATCGGGAGTCTAAGACACATCTTCCCGTCATGTTTTCAACCACGTAGTCTTAAAAACAAGTACAACCAGTACATGTTGTCAGTAATGACATATAGATCTGAGATATGGTAGTTTTCTACTGTCCGTATGAGAAAACTTAAAGTCACTCAGCGAGCTATGGAAAGGGCAGAGCTTTTCTGGGTGCTAGATTTGGTAGGGATGATGTCCGCAGTAGGACCAGAGTAACCGACAGAGGACCAACATTTAGCTTTTAAAACCAACATCTGATGGGAAATAAAGGTTCTCATGTGGATGCCTCGTACCGGTAAGTGAATTTTTTGGTGGCCCTCAGTAGATGAAGTAACGACCAATTAAGTCATGGAGGAAGCTGATGGATTCAGTTTGTCTAAGGCCGTGCTTTGAATCATTCCTTGGAGAGGCCTAAGTTCAACATTTTACGTTTTTATTTTTTTAAGTGTCAGTCTTTTATATAAAGTGATGAAAATAATTAAATGATTGAGTTATCATCATCCTTGTGATTTATTTGATGTAAACGAGAAAAAATAATTTACATTTACATTAACTTTACATTTTAAACAGGTACTTATTCCCAATATTACGCTTAAACAAACAAGGCCTGAGCCTAAGCGCGAGTGAATGAAATTAAAACATTTAACTTTATAGGGATTAAATTTTAAGAGAATAAAATTATAGTAATAAGTTAATGTATTTTAATAAACATAAATTAATATAAAAGTAAGTACAATAATATAGAAACTGGAGTATTGAGAGGTCTATTCCATTATATCTACATAATTACCTTATTTTAATGGTTCCTTATTTCTTTTATCTTATCACATCGTTAATAATTTTTACTAACAATCTAAAAGTCTCAATTTTTGAATGTAACTTAGTATTGATCGTTATGCCAAAAAATTTCACATTTTACATTGTTACGTTAGAAAAAGAAACGATCAAAAATGTGTGTTCTCTTTTCAGGATTTCAAGGATGAAGACATGGATAGATATTTCAGAATGTTTGCGCAGTTGAATCTTAAAGCCCCTATGCTTAACTGTTTACCATCTCATAGCAGATGTCTTATCTATCAGGGTGATTTGCGCTTTAAAGATAATGTGAAGGAGGCAAGAAATATTTATAATGATTTTTAAATAAGTTTTGCTTGCGATAATTTCGGGTGCATCCGATGTAAAGATTGCCTTTTGTAAATGCGGATTTAAGATTCCTAAAGTTGATTTCTTTCATAAATATTCTTCATAATTATTTCACTAAACTGCATGTACACGTAAAATTCTTTTGAATCCGCATTTTATTCCCAAAAGTGCTTTTAGCGAAATTTGTAAATTTCTAACATGTTCTCCCATCTAAGTTTTACTTTGCGAATGCTAGATTTTTCTTTTGTTTTAAGACGGTAATGCAATAATTGAACTATATATGTGTAAAATTTAAAATTCTTTTACAGACTGATGTTCGAGTGTTTCTCCTAACTGATATGCTGCTCATTTGCAAGAAACTATCTAAAGGCAGTACTTATGCGTACAAGATGATTAGGTAAATTTAGTTAAATAAATTGCAATCACGTATAAATGTAAGCGCTGCGCGAATTTGTATTGGTTATTGCGTATGCGAAAATTTGTGTTATTTGAATTAATATTTACTTATAGGCCTAAATACATGGTGGACAAGATGCATCACTTCCCCAAGTTTAGCCGTAGCAAGGAACTCGTAGCTTTAATATTCGTTGTACTCGATGATGTTAGTTCTTCTTACCATTGCTTCACGTTATCTGAGTCATGTAAAGAAGAAAAACATCACGGTCCCATTAAAGTAAGTATTCAGATACAAACTATGATATATAAACATGTGACTGAGAATGGAGTAACTTTAATAATTTTTTCAGGTAAGCGTACTTCAGATGTGGGAGCATAAAGTAAAAGAAGCTAAACTGAGCTACGAACTCGCTGTGTGGTTTGCTAGGAATCCTTCGCGCGACCTCTCTGAAGTGGAAATGGATTCATCGTCAGATTATGCTCTCAGTTTTGGTAGCAGCACCAGACCGGTACTATATTTTATTTATAGCTTTATTTTATATTATATATTTGTATCATTTGAACCGGTTTTATAATGGTATAATGGTAATTAAGCCTTTGCTACGTTCTGGTGATTTTTGTGATTATCTTATAACTCTACTCTTAAATTGGCTTTAAATTTATAAATAGCAAGATAACATAAACATAACAGAAATAGAAACATTCACGCCTGTCACCCAGAGGGGTAAGCAGAGACTACGGACTTCCTGACACAAGTCTCGCGCCTCCTTCACGTCCATATATCTACGTACACATGCTCGATAATCGTAAGCTAAGAGTACTCTTAATCCGGCTCATCTGTAATATATCGCTAATGTTCCTTCATCCTTAACATCCGTCACCTTCATCTAGAGTGTCCCTTGTCGACTCTGCCGTATCACTTCTACAACATAAATTTGCTTTGTCACTCTTGAGAGTTTTTTATAAATAGCAACTTACGTTTATTATGAAGTAATTCTCGCGTGTATCCAAGACCACATATCTATTGCAGCACGCTTTTTTCTAAGAGTACACACATACCAAACGAAATCGCCAGCATACGATAGCATACGAGTATAAAGGTTGTCTTCTTGCAGTCTTCTCCTCACATTTTAATCACTCGTCAGGACCTGGTGTTCCGACCACAATAATCTAACCGTAACGTTAGATTATTTTCTTGTCTTAAAATTGTAACTGGATTATTACCAGTGTGCCGCTCAGCCACCTTGCCACTGTCGCAGTAGCGAGACCACAGTCCTAATATGACGCTTATATTGGGGCCAATGGCAACATTGCATGCCAATCGCACTGGCCGTTAGTGCCCATAGCTCACAGTTTCTCTTTCCTGGTTAACTGTTCCACGACATACAAAAGCCACGGGTACAAGTCAATTAACAAACTTGTAAAATAAATTTAATTTTACCAACACTGTCAATTTTTTTTATTTGAATTTCGACTTTTAAATATGACCGTGAATTATCCCTAGTCAGTGTTGAGTTTTATATTAGTATTATTATCTCTAGACTACATAAAAGCTTCTCTCCAATTTCAAGCCGGAAATCTATAGTTAGATGAAAGTATTTTATGGCACCTATTTTTGAAAATACAAAGAATGTAAACATATTTATTTTCTTTTTTCTGTGCGTATGTTTGTTCTACAGACGTTAATTAACTATTTTTTATATAATTATTGTGGCAATATTATAACAAAAAGGACACAATCCATTATTTCAAGGAAATATATTTCATGATACGTTACATTGCCAAGTTCAACGTAAAAAGAATCTTGAGGATGTTCTAAATAGAACTTATTTAACCCTTACCATTACCGTCCCGTCAAAATCAACTACAACTAATTACTTAGAAAATAATGCAGGAGAAGCAAACCGCTTGCGGTCAAGTTCTCTCCGACACCCAAAACTTTAAGAAAGTTCGAAAATACTTTAGCAAGCTACTAACACGTTTGTTTATTTTATTTTTCAAAATATGTTATTTTCAATTTTGTCTCATGACGTTTTATCTAAATGAAATATTTATTTCTAAATCCATTAACGTTCTAGCTTTCAGGAATTCATTGTTTATTTGATTATGGAGATTAGACACGTTCAATATTACTTAATTATTTTCAGATATAAACTAGATAATAAAATTTATACCAACAATACTTCGATTGATTTGCTTGTATAAAGAAATTTCAAAAAAGAGCGGCTTGTTGTTTGTGAGAACTTTCTTCTTTAACAAATAACCTTTTCAAAAACCCGTCATATGGCACGTATAAGGACGCGATATAACAACGACAGAATGGTATAGGAATTCTTAGGATTCTTCACTAGGAAGTATTCTTAATACTTTTAAAAGCTTACCTTGTATAAAAATATAGAATACAGTCTTTTTTCTGCAGGGTAAGGCAGGGTCTGAAGAACTTAACATTGAACGGGAGGCTCGGGAGAGAGTGGCTGCCATGTTGCACCGAAGTATGGGAGCATCTACGGAATACGAGTTCTCTCAAGCATCCATGGCTACTGACTCCTTCGATGGTACGTACTTGGGAAGAGTAAATTTCAAATTAGGATCAATAACTAAGAATTACGAATGAGGAGCTTTTTGATATAGAAATATTTTATTGTATTAATTTGTTCCTAACAAATCTTAATTGATAAGTCGAAGAATTGGAGTAACACCGGCGTCTAAAAAATTTTTTACTAAGAGTCCAAGTTATAATAAATGATAAGACAGAAACTTTAAAATTAGAAATTAAGTTTTGATTATTTTTTTAAGTCACCCAAGCCATGGTCTCTGGTGAAATATCAAGTGGTCGTGGGTTCCGTTACCCCATGCATCGCACTTCTACTGGCGGTAGCTCACGCAACTCACGTTTATCCAGTTTCCAACAATCGATGAGGTAAATTTATTTTAATTTAATCGTAAACTGTAATTTTTAAGAATATTTATTTGGGTAAATGTCATCAGATAACCCCTCCTCTATTCACGTAAGGCAAGATGCTTATTCACATAGGGCATGGATATAATCTGCCCTGTTGTAATAGTCAACCTGGCATCTTTACCTTCATTTTTAAATTGCTCAAAACTGTTTTAATATTTGGCTAACGTTTTTGGCAAATTTCGCTATCTAAAATTTTATAGAAACTTAAAAAGGTAATTAAAGAACACCACCAGGTTAAATTAACACGTTTATGGCAGCTTTACCTTTATATAGCTTTACCTTGGTTTACATAGCATATATATTAGGCCATTCAAATTGCGCACAGTATGTATAAAGTTAAGTCAAAATGCATTCTTCAAAAGGCTTTTTGTAGTTTAAAATTGGGAAAACGAAGTAACAATTCAAACTAAACGTAATAGTAACAATCATTGAAAATTTAATGAAACGGAAAGATTCATCTACTCTTGTCTATGCAATAGAACAGGGTAGCTACACTTTATTACACGTTTGAATATCTTTTGAAATGTTTTCTTGTAAGATCCAATACGACCAAAATACAAACTTGCCTTATCACTTCTAATAAGCCTATCACCATAGCTTCTTTTATTCTAAACGGTTTTTGTACCAACGATAATATAAAAACATCTTTCTTCTACTTCTGCAAGTGGTACCCTGACATTGTAATGTAATGCCATCCAAATTAAATTACTGCATACCTGCCAAATGTTCCGTGTCTGGATGTTTGTCCATGTGCAATTATAACAAGTATTTTAAAGTACATATAGTATATATATTAGAGTAACCTTTTAAAATTGTTTATGTTATGTATGAAAATAATTTTATAATTTTAAACGTAATAAACTTACGATATGATTGCGAAAATTGATTATTTTATAGTGCTGCTTCTCACGATGAACCTCAACCGGGACCCAGCCGAATTGTTTTTCGTCCTGGTAGTTCCGTAGAGCAGCACGTCATCCCTCCGCAGCATCATGATGAAGGTATGTTGTTTTATTGATTTATGATTGATTATATGAAATATTTATTCTCTTTATTGGATATTATGAGTGTTTTTTTTGTGCGGTACTCTAATTCCTTTTCTAAAATAAAAGTAGCCTAAGTTATTCCTTATAACATTAGCTGTCTGCCAGGGTTCCAAGTAGGGATGGGCCGAATATTCGTTTCACGTTCGGTATTCGGCCGAATATTCGGCTAAATCACCGACCATTTGTTAAAGTGGTACTCAAAGTGTCCTTTGTATTGAAATGTACGAATTGAGTAATGCCATTTCTTTCATAATTTTACTGTTGAAAGTATAATTTATTTATGGGTTAAATCTAAAGTTAACTAAAGAGATAGCTTGATAAAATGTTTTTGGAGTTACACAAAGAAAAATTAGTTCATTTTACTTTAATTTGGTTGTCAGTTTCTCTAAAATAAGTTAAAATATTAGATCTCCTGCTACTCATTTTCAATTTTTACTGAGAATAACACAACGAAATACTTTTTTTCTCACAAAAATAGTCAAAACATAAGCGAGCGAGGGCAAGGGTCTGCCGAATATTATTTTTATATATAGGAAATCTTCAAAATGGTTATTAATTTTTTTTATTTGGTTAAAAGCTGTTATTTTGACATTACAAACAGACACTTCAATTTTATTTATTTCTATAGATATAAATCAAGCATACACAATGATGTCCCTTTTAAACAAAATAAATAAGTAGTTACGGAGCCTTGACTAAGTGAAAGTACGTCATTATCTGCACTTTCTCAAGCACTCGCAGAAGCAAAAGCTTTGGGTAAAAAGCTTCATAAAAATTTGCGCTCTAATAGTTTTCATATAATGACACTATACATAATATATTATTAACTTATATTTAAATTAAATGAATTTTAGAGGGGTCCATGTTTAATGTAAATATTAATAAATTTTTTTTCAGTTGTCACATCAATCACCGTGAACGTAGTAAGCGAGAGCGAATCGGAGACCGTCGTACCCGATCCACCGCCGGTAATTATGTTTTATAGACAACTTATTTTATACATATGGGGAAAGATCTCAAAGGAATCAGATCGGTTATTTTAGTAGAGACACAAATGTGCGAGAAATTAAATATGACAATAAATGGATTATACGTACGTTTAAGAAGAGGGAAGGCAGACAGTGTGTCTCGACGGCGGCGCAGTACTGCACGGTAACGACTCATTAATACTTCAATTTCAAGATTAAAAAGAGTTTACTCCTTTCTTAAAGGTCGGCAACGCACCTACAATTGCCCTGGTGTTGCAGTTGTTCATGCTCGTTTGCCCGCTATTCTACAAAAAAAGATTCAACCGGTTAAGCAGGTGCAATAACGCGTTATAGACAATTAAGTTCTAGAATCGTTTAGTTGATTGCGTTGTCGTTTTGAGATAGTATGTCTCATGCCACGGATTTTGTATCTGTATGACGCCGCAATAGGCCAAGGCTCTGGTTTCCTAAGATACGGTACCTACTGCCGTATAGCGGCCGTAAAAAGACGGCCGTCTTTACGGTGATGACACGTGGATAGTTCCATTACTACGGTCATCTTTTTTTAATAATATGCCATAAACGTATCGTATGCCTAACTTTTATTGTAAATATCGTCATGGTTACGCACAAATTCTATTAAAATTTCGTCATCTTGCAACTGGAGCAGGGCAGTTGAAGTTGGAGCTCATTTTGTTTACCGTCACGGGTCAACGCTATCGAAAATGAAAATGTCGAAAATGTTCGTGAACTATCCGGCACCGTCAAAACGCCCGTCACACAAATAGCGGCAAAACTGTTTCATGTTCCGGCGTCAAATACCGCTCTCTAGGAAACTACGATATGTTTATCTATATAAACATATCGTGGTTCGATATGATACCACGATATGTTTATCTATATAAACATATCGTGGTTCGATATGATACCACGATATGTTTATCTATATAAACATATCGTGGTTCGATATGATACCACGATATGTTTATCTATATAAGCATATCGTGGTTCCTAGAGAGAGAACAAAGTTATAGCGACGTCATTCACCGCTTAATTACGGCTGTCATGTAGCGGCACCGCAATCTTAAACCGCAATCTTAATAGGCGTCGCACCGTCACGTCACCTTAACTCACCGTGTGCCCACGCTCTTACACTGTACCAGTACCTTCACAACTTCTGTTAGTAATTTCTAATATAGTCAGTTTGAATGGTGGGTGGACCAAGCGGACAATAACCTTTTAGCATACTGTAAGGATAATCAAGCTATTTCCACTTTCCCACTTTAATTTTCTTCCTTATTCTCTTCTTAGTTTCACCATCTGTGTAATATACTAGGTGATTTTTTACCGTCTGGAAAAAATTGGGTGTAACAGGTGAACAAAATGGAAGCCTATGGCAGTGATATTTTTCAATTTTTTTTTTTTGTTTTACATTAACATATTATGAAACTGATCTATCAGTAAACACTACTAATTGAGTGCGTATTATATTAATTTCGATAGTTTTTAATTTATTTATTTAGTTCAATTTTTTGTTTTTATTTTTTAGCACTGAAAGATTTTTTCAAATTAGTAGTATTTACTGATAGATCAATTACATAATATATTAATGTGAAAAAATATACAATATGTATATTTCTTTTGAGAATAAAATATCTTTAACCAATAACAGTGCCACAGGCTTTTATTCCGTTCACCTGTTACACCCTATTTTCCCAGACGGTAAAAAATCATGCATTATACTAACTATTATTTTCCTTACATTATAAAGAGGTAAGTTTGTTTATCAGAAAAATATTTATTTGACAATATCAGTAAATTAATTTGTATTTATCCCTACTTTCATATTTATTTCGCCTTTGATATGGCATTAAAACTTTAATGTTCATAAAATCGCAGGGTGCGAGGTCGGGGCTATAATATGGCGGGTGACCTAGTAAATCTACGTCTAACGTCGTCATGTAGTCGATTGTTTATTTGGTGTTGTGCTGAATGACCGCTTTTTCATCTCACCGTGTACTACTTAATGTAATGTACGTGGTAGAGCCATGGTGCAATTATATTAGTAGTATAGTTGTAGCACGAATGAGTCGGCCCGACCGGGGAAGGACCACACTCTCACAGAATACCAGCGTGAAATAGTAGCTTAATGCTGCTGTGTTTCGTATGGTGAGTGTAGAGTACACGAGACCCTTTTTACTGGAAACGAGGCATTCCATCTTATTTCTCACGGGTTACAACGTATCAGCATTTTGATTCGTATTCAAGGATAGATGTAGATGTCTATGGGCCACAGCTACCACTTAATATCAAGAGGACTGTGTGCTCGTTTGTCACCCTATCCTATAAAAAAAGTTAGATAATAGTAAAAAACGTATCTAGAATATGTAAACTTTTCTGTAAACGCTAATATAACACTCAGTGTGTTTGTCTGTTTTTCCACCTGGTATGTAAATAGAATCTTTTATATAGAATAAGGATAACACACGACGTGTGCTCGTGTGTTATCCTTATTCTATATAAAAGAGCCACCTGGTGCTAAGTGAATGCTGTAGCCCATAGATATCAAAGAGGACATTTAACCTTGATTAAGAATTAAAATGCAGATGCTTTATCAGTTTACCACCCCAGAGAACTAAAATGAAATGCCCCGTTTTCAGTAAAAAATGTCTTCGGTTATCTATAATCACCATCTGAACTTTTAGCTTTTTGAGGCCGGTATTTTACCGACCCATTCGTGCCGTAATATAGCATGGCTCTACTTCGTATTTTTTTTTAATCGAAGTGAATAATCGGACGTGGGAATAGTAATTTCCCAACTTATTTATTATAACTAGTATTTTACGTGGTAGAGTCATGCTGCAGCTATATTACTGGTATAGTTTTAGAACAAATGAGTCGGCTCGACCGGGGAAAGACAACGCTCTCGCAGGATACCAGCGTCAAATATCAGCTTAACGAAGCTGTATTTCGTTTGGTAAGTGCAGAAAACCGGAATACCCTTTTTACTGGAAACTTTACTACTAATATTACTGGAAATAATACCTTAATACTGTATTAATAATAATCGTTTATTTAGAGATCTACTTTTGCCAGTTTATTTAATATAAGGAATCTCTTAATGGATAAAATACCTAAAAAGATTAGAATATTTTTATTGAATATTATCCTATATAATATTCTTATTGAAAGTTATTTTTTTTACTTTAACCACTGGTTTAGAAAAAAACTCCTGGGAAAAACCAGGAAGAAACACAGCGGTAATTTTTCCATAGTAACATTATACAATCTAAAATGGGTTATACAACTATTTACAATAAGAAACTGCTTAGAAGTGATCATCTCATTCTCAGGGGTTATTTTTAACTATGCTTTATATTATTAAAAATATTTTTACAAAGTCTTTCCTTGTATTTTTTCTGGGACTTTGTTGTAATACCGTATATATTGCCCCATGAATGAATTAATGACTATGCGGTTTCGAGTAACGCGTATAACAAGTTTGTGTTTGTTGTTGTTTTAGTTTTTGTGCACATACATTAATTTTCCATAAATATATTGAGAGGCTTTTATTTCTTTGATGTTTTCCCAAGAATCTCTCTCAGTTATAAGTACACAACTCTTTTAGCACTCTTCCGCAAAACAAATATAGTATAGCCAAATCGAAATCTATACCGAAATCCCATTAGACGAAGGTTCCCTGTGGATAGATACTTGACGCCAACGGGAGCAACTCAATGATATTCCACTCGAATGTCGGGGTCATTTTGGCCAATATGGCGCATCTGTCTAGCACTTTCCGAAGTACTAAGTAAGTATATAACAAGTATACTAAGTATATAATATATATACTAAGTAAGTATATTAAAATCATATATCAATGGAAACGTTATTAAATAAGCTATATATATATATATATATATATATATATAGTAGTGGTGTGTGTATGTATGTATATGTATGTTATATATATCATATATATGTTACAAATAGTTTGTTATAACTCGACGCCATATTATGGTGTTTGACAGATGCGCATATTATTTGAGACGCCAGAATATGGCGTTTGTACAGACGAGGGGTACTAAAAAGCATTGGCGAAAACTAAAGCCTTCATTAACTAATTACCGCCTTTTTTAAATATTTATTAATAGATATCTCTTTTGTATAATAATTGGATGATAACCCGTGACAAAACAGAAGCCTAACGGCTGTTTAAACAATCTGTCTGTTCTCAATTTTCATGAGAACGTTTCATGTGACTTCTTCAATTTAAATTACCAGAAAATTGGATATTAAAAAAAATACTTTTTTGTTTCCTAAAGTTCAAACAATAACTTAATAGGCCGAATTTTGTTTGCTGTTTAGTCCATTTAAGTTCTGAGCTAGATCACGTCGAAAGTGTAAAGCCTTTACAAAATTTTCTTAAATAGCAGTTTTATAAACAGCAGCTTTTGTTCATGCAGCCTCCACCCTAAACGAGCATTTCCTTTCCACTTTGAATTGTAATGTAGCCACAAACCATTATGTTACCTTCAGCTCTCGCTTTTTCCGCCCGAGTAATTTGAGGCTTTACTTCCGCCTACGTTTTTAGGTAGCGCGGGCAATGAGAAACATTATGGATATGATTTTTTTTGTTATTTTTTTGTTACTGAAAGCTATTGTTCATTACACAATCATAAAACATAATAAGAAATTGATTAAATATCAATTGTTACGGAGACATATCTGATACATAAAAATAATATTTATTTATTCGTTTTTATGCGCTGACATACTGTTCATCAGATAGCAGTAAAACTTTGCCAAGTTATTGTTATGCGAAGAATACATGCATAGTATAATTAACTTACAGTAGATGATGCGCGTTTCCTAAAGACTAATTAATTTGAAAGTTATGTATCATTCAACTTATACATAACTCTTCCAAATTTAAAACGATATTTCTACCATTATTTCTTTTGGAGTAGCAACGAGCTGGGTACCAGTAAGTAGGCTTATAAAAATTATTATTTTTTTGCCCTAACTGCGTCCCTATTTTATTTATCTGATTCCGATGAAAATTTTGTAAATCAATGAGCCTGCTTACATTACCATAGGAGAAGCCAAAGGAGATACAATATTACTGATACCACGAATTCCCATTATCCCTGCTAATTTACCTTTCCAGTTCATACATTTTTTTAATTATTGTTAAGAAAAGTCAAGAGTCAACACTAAAGTTGGTAGTAATACCACAGTATAAATAATAGTACTACTAATACATCTGGCCACCCTATATTTTTCGTACGGATAGCTCTTTTTTGGCTGCTTGCATGTATTGAGAGCCAAATATCACTACGTATACGCAGGAAACGTAGTCAAGTCTCAAAACTTTTAGAGTATTTTCTCTCCGTACCTCTAGTACACTATCTCATAAACTCATCTTATATCTCATAAAGGTTTGTTTTGATATTGAAAAGCGGTTGTGATAACTGATAACTAAACTTGAAAGCTACAATATTATTATTATAATAAAAAATAATATTCTTCGAACCTAATTACAGTCCCGTCTTAATAGAGACTAGCCATCTGCGTAGGACAGGACTACAGAGAATTTCTTTACAGAAGAACTCAATACCAAATATTTTTGGCCCACGTTGGGCCGAGGTATACTCGTAGAGTGTTTTGAACCCGAGACCACTCAGAGCCTCATGACCAGTAGCCTCACTCAGCAGTACTCACTGTTACCAAAAGTTAACCTTTTCGTATTGCAATATGATGTAATATAATGAAAAACTCTTTCAATGTTACAGACATACATATGTTTAATAACATATTATAATTATGTGTACAAATAGGCGTTGAGCCTGCAAATTTATTGCCAAAAGCAACGAGGCAAAACTATTCAAAACTAATCAAAAAAAATAGGCAGTCAAATAGTCGGTTAACGCGTCACTCTGACATTCCGTAGTCACACTATCATTTTGCTCTACTGCAATGTAGCCTCTTTGCCTTTGTTTTGGTAATATATATTTTATCCAGTGCTGTGTCTCGGTAACTCTATTTTTACCCGCACCGAGTGAAACCTTTTTACGGCAATGAAAAGTCAGAACTCTCTTTTTTTTAATTTTTAAACAAGTTGTATAAATATGTATAATGTAATATTTGATTTATTTCACTAACTTCCTATGCCCGACATGGAGTGCCTGCTGCATCCTTAAATGTGGTGGCCGCTTCTCAGGATTATTTTCGGGAATGTATCCCTGATTCTTTGTTTACCGTGAACACCATGGTAGTCGCAGAATCCATCATCGAAATTTGATAAAGCAGAAATTTTAAAAAAATTTAAAGATGCGTGGCCGGTTCTGGACCGTGCGATCGGCAGAAGTTATCCAGATTCTTAACTTAAACTTAACCACTTTGGTCACCCTCTTTCGATTAGTTTTGATCTATTAAAAAAAACTTATCCCTTTACTGATTCTAATTGCATTTATTAGCTCTAGAATTACTACAGTCATGCCAGTAACCTAGGTCAGGTCTAAGAAACCAAAACTGATTTATTTTGCGCCTTAATATGGTTTGCAATGAAACACGAACTTAATCTTTGAGACAAGCATATTATTACTGACATGATCAACCAGGGCGCTGACAAGCGAACAACAACCCAACGCACGACCGCACGAAACTCTCGACATGCCAAATTTTATAGAATACTGTAACACATGCATAATAGAAAGGGGGAGTGGGCGGAGCCTTTGTAGCCACTAACATGTCAATTCACACTTATAAATGTCAACACGAGATTTGTTTGACGTTACAATCGTTTCCAATTTTCATGTCAAGCGAGCATGCAAATTCATAAAATGCCAAATTGCACACTATTTACAATTAAATATTTATTAAAATTTAAATGATTTGTTTTAATGATGATCTTGGACATTAATCAAGTCTAAAATGTGTAAATTTACTCAGTCTGTCAACACAGTAAATCGGGTTTGTAGTAGTGATAATACGACGTAATTGCTTGTACATGTTTTCCCGGCGACGCCGATCCTCGAACAAAATAAGATTGATAGCCATTTTACTGTGTATTATAGTATTCTATGCCTAATTTAAAGAAAGAGGACGTGAACGCGAATCGTTTCACTCCGAGAAACGTACAACACCACAGGCAGGTGGATGAACTCTAAAACGCACCGGTGCCGTAAGACAAAATTCTCTAGAAGTTTATCTGAATGTATGCCATCCTGTTACCTATTTGTGCCGCAAAATAGCAGACTGCCCTGCTGTGCGGGTAAAGACTGTTTAGTATAATTACAGTCCATATTCCATTTTAATCCTCAGAGGAGCCAACGCATTTTTAGCCTCCTTTGTAAGAAGTACTTACAGAAAAACCCAATAACAGATTTTGTCCCCACCCCGGCATTCAAACCCAGGACCACATGATCATCAGTCGCGTTTTCGACCACTAGACCGATGAGGCAGGCAAGGAGGTTTACACACTTAGTCCTAATCTCACAAACTGTATCTATATAATAATGGTATTATTTTCAAAATTATTTATTTCCAAATATACTTATTATACAGACTAGCGTTATTACCTAGATAGATCCTCTATTGATGTCACGTTTTTTTGTCGACTACAGCGCCTTGTAACGAGTCCAAGAGTAAACGTATTTCAAAATCAGTTGAGCCGTTTTTGAGTTTTAGTGAAACTAACGCACGGGAATTTTTCTGATAGAGATATATGTATAATAGATTTTTCAAAATGTAATCACATTTGTTATATAATAGAAACATTTATCATAATTCTTTTAGATACCGATACATGCTGTTCACTCGCACCACGGCGCCCACGCGGCGCAAAGTACTCATAGTGCGCATAGCGGGCACGGCGTGCACAGCCGAGCGGCGAGCGCCAGTCCGAACACGTTGCGTGTGCAGCCGCAGAACTGCGTCATGGCACTAGTGCATAGCCTACCAGACCTCACCATCGAGCCAGCAACGCCGCGTCCACCACAAAGGTAATACAACCAAACAGGAGAGTCGCCAAACTCTACTATCGTACTACCGTTTTATGAAATCGAGTAGAGGCTAGCGGTGTAAGACTATCCACTACCCCTTCACGTGCAAGTGTTGTAAGAGGCGACAGAGAAATACAAAATAGATGATCAGCAGTTCCAGATAAAATTTTCATACGTGGTAGAGCCACGCAGCAGCTATATTATAATTGTAGCACGTATGAGTTGGTTCGACCGGGGCAGGACCATGCTCTCGCATGATACCAGCGTAAAATAGCAGCATAATATTGATGTGTTTCGTATGGTGAATATAGAGATCAATAGACCCCTTTTTTACTGGAAAGGAGGCATTGCATCTTAGTCCTCAGGGATGACAACGCATTTGCGTTCTAATTCTTAATCGAGGATAAATGTAGTATGTATATGGGCCACAGCATCCACTTATCATCAGATGGACTGTGTGCTCGTTTGTCACTAATATTCTATAAAAAAACAACTGAAAATAATACAAAACTACGGTTGCCAACCTGCCCGCCAAGCGTAGTAACAACTATGCGAAATTCTCCCTATGAGGCAATCTATGGGGCCTATGTTCATCAGTAGACTTTTTTGGGCTGTAAGGATTAGACTACCCAAAAACAAGCATTCGTCCGTACATACCCGTAGTTGTGTTCTAAAGCTTACGCGACACGATTGGAGCTGAGCTTCGATACACTCGCAGTGATACGTTGCATCATAATTTTTTTGTAAATTATAAATTTATTAAAACGTTACAGTTTTCGGCCAGTATTTTACGAATATGGTTGGTATATCGTGTCGATAGTACAAATTGTCAGTGAAATCAAGATATGTATTAACTAGTCATAAACTTCTTTATAGATAGGGCCTTGATATTGGATGAATTGTCCTGGTGCAACAACCATTTATCATTTCGCACCTGCGGCCTTTTTTCCAAATTTTATCACGATGTCATTTTAATACTTCAATGTAATTGTGCTGAGTAACAATGTGGCCACTGCAAACCCACGCAATCATTAGAACTCCCTTAATCTTGAAGAAGAAACATTGAGCTTAATTTTTAACACGACATGCGCGTCCAGAACATTTGTCATCTTCCATACCGTCTCCCGTCCGCTAACCGCTTAATTTAAACACACATTCCCAAGACACTATTCGTCTCCGTAAGTCAGCTCGAAAAGCTTTTTAGCACCATTAAAGGCAAGTGGTAAGGCAAGATAACGTAGTAGAGAGTATGTCTAGGTAGAAGAGGACATTTATCAGCTAGTATAATAAAACCAGAAATAAAGACATTTATAGGCATTTACAAATCCGTAAAGTCGTTTAAACTATAGAAGGTAAATAGAGAAAGATGCATACAATACAAACACAACATTAAACATCTATGTTCTATGATATACATGCATATAGATGAATATAAACACGCAAAAACATAACCCACCTTTTGGGGTTGCCCGTTAATAAATTACTTTTTACGCATTATGAAACTATGAATTTTTTTCAGACATATTTTACATACATGATCGAATATCTTTAGAGTATACTAAATATGACCGCATTGACTTACACAATGGTACATACTCGGTGTAACCACAAGAGTAAAGCTCGTAACCTACGTAGTGCCGAGTGTACTGTAGGTACTCATACGGAAATACGAAATACGGAAGTAAGCAAAAAAACAGTATTAAACCGTTAAGTAAAAACTTTTAATTCAAAGACTTGAATCTAAAGAACAATCTGTATATATAGATAATATAAATAGAGAATCGAAGACAAAATATATTTCTGTGGAAAATATTTAATAATCACCTCTATATATAAAAATCAATTGCTGTCAGTTAGTCTCGCAAAAACTCGAAAATGGCTCGACCGATATTGATGAATTTTTTGTGTGTATTTAAGTGCTCCCTAGATGGTTTAAAAACTCATTTGGACCCGTTATAGGTGGCCCTGTCGTCAAGATCCAGAAATCATCCGTGCAAAGCCGGGGCGGATCGCTAATTTTAAATAAAGTTTATACTTTAATACAAATGTATACATACTAATTTCTTCTACAAAATCGCTGTCATCTCCGATATATTTGTCCCCTCTTAAGAAATAATATGACAATCTTCTTTAAGAAAAGAACCAAACCGTCTTGATGCAGCAAAGGTTAATGAAGTTTACTTGCCCTGTTTATTATAAAAATATTCTTAACAATGTAATCAGATTTTAACTATTGTCTTATTATGTTACCAAACAGTATATAATCATTAAGTATGAATTCAACCAATTCACAATAAGAGTAATTTTTATTCCTAGAATCAATCGCTTATTATTTAAAAATAAATCAATTTCACATTTTATCGTTTTTAATAAGAATAGCGGGCCTATTCCGAAATAGTTACTAAGCCACCCTTTCGCATGGAGTAAGAAAGTTATCCCAAGAATATTTAAATGGTTTCTTCTCTGGTATTACTCTCGGTGTCAATTTCAATCTTATTAGTTCAGATACTATATAAAAAAACTCCAAACCTTGCAAGCAACTCGACACTTGATGACAGCTATTTTAGATATTTTAATATAAAAAAGGGAGTGGTTATGATTATGACCTTTTACATCGTCCCTTAATAGAACAATATTTACTTGCTGGGTTTTACATCATACTTTAGATGATTGCACAGAAAAACGATATACTACTTTACTCAAGATTTAAATCATGGAATAGTTATCCCTAGTACAGATAATCGTATATAAATCGAGATTAGGTTGAATCCACCTTGAGAAACATAAACTAAAAGGAAACACGATTAATTATTAGTGAACGGACGGCGAGCACGTTCCAACGTTAGCGTGAATTTTTACGACTTCAAGAAACGGAGGAGGTTTACGATTTAAACGAATGTTTATATATATATATAAAGCGATATCTTCGTCGATTGTGAATCGATATACAGGTTGTTAGTCAGTAAACACCGTTATTCTTGAAACCTGTGATTTGGTTTCACTTATAGAACGTAAATTCAATGAAAAATAACAACTTTTTTTTGTAATATCTCATTTTTCCTCAATTTTTGCCTGTCCTAAGTCAGGATGAAAGTATGAAGGAAAAGTTACATCACAGGTTATGTGTAGCTATTGTGTTTTTATTGGAATGTTGTGTAGGTAGCTAGCACGGGCGGTGATCTTTAAAGTGATTACGTCACTCGGGCGCTTAGGGTATCCATGAATTTACGGACGGTGTCGGACAGAAACTTTTTAAATTTTATGAAAGAAAATAGCGTTTTTTTTTAATTCATTGAATTTACGTTCTGTAAGTGAAACTAAACCACTGGTTTCAAGGATAACGGTGTTTACACTAACACCCTGTATTGTTTCATAAAAGGGATTTTGCCACAACTGCCACGTTTAGCAGGCGGGTTGGTTTTTGTAATCTTGAGTTATTTTAAGAATGATGCTACTGCCCATTTTCTGTTTTTTCGTTCTGTCGCCGATAAGATTGATATGGACGATATTGGGTAGTGGATATTATTATACGGCCGCTACGCTACTACACTTTAGGGATTTTCTTATGTAAATTTGGAGAAAATAACCCTTAAAAGTGGAATAATAGGGAATGAAGTGTTTAATGTCATGTCCACTAAAGAGGGTAAAATAATGAATAAATTAAGTAAAAGCCAATTTCAAAGTACTAAAAATAATAATATAATGTCACACTCTGAAAGCAGGGCTTTAAATTCTGTACATTCAGAATTTGAAATTATTCTTTATTATATATGTGTTCTTTTTAGTACTTTGAAATCTGATCTCACTTTTTATTAAAGTTAACCATTATGTAAGGAGGTCTATTGGAACATTTTAAGGAATAGTAAACACTACGCACAAAACAATTATGTACAGGGATAGCCTGTAAACTAAACTTCTTATGCTTAAATATTATAATGCCCTTTTACTGGTAATAGTATCCTAGTCAAACATCTACAATTTGATTTTTAATCGAGGATAGATGTAGATTGTCTATGGACCTTACACCATTTGAGTGGTCTAAGCTATGGACCACTGCTTTCACTTACCGTCAAGTGAACTGCGTTTTTTTCCTTTATAGGATAGGGTGACAAACGAGCACACAGTCAACCTGATGGTAAGTGGTTGCTGCGGCCCATAGATATCTACATCTATCTTCGATTACAAATCAAAATGCAGATGCGTTGCCACCGGTGAGGACTAAGATGGAATGCCTCGTTTCCGGTAAAAAGGGTCTCCGGTTCTCTACACTCACCATACGAAACACAGCAGCATTATGCTACTATTTCACGCTGGTATTCTGTGAGAGCGTGGTCCTTCCCCGGTCGAGCCGACCCATTCATGCTACAACTATACTACTAATATAACTGCAGCATAGCCCTACCACGTATAAAACGCACGCGAAATAGAAAATGATGACCAAGCTTATATCACCACTCTCTGTTAAAAAGTGTTTGAATTGGGTGGTTGACGAAGTTACGTGATTATAAAAAAATTAAGTTTTCTATAAACCCCAAAGTTTTACACGCATATTAAATACATCTAAACGGGGAGGGGGGGACAAACCTCTAGTACTTATATAACTTTAAAATAATGTTTAAAAAAAGTCCTCGTTTATCAACATAAGATGTAGAAGAAAAACCTCGCATTGCTTTGAATAAAACTTTATATACGGATTTTATCGCGTTTAATTTACTTTTTTAACTTATTTTTAATTCCCGACATTGCTATTTTTTACTAACACAATATTTGACATTTATAAAAAAATACCCTACAGCCCAAGTCCGCAGTCAGCTTCAGAGAAGCTCTATCAGTCACATAATGAACTGCTCCAGCGTAACAGATTGTTGGCTGCGCAGCAACATCAGTATCTTAGCCCAGACCATCGCGGCACCAGCTACCCACCGCCCAGTCCAACAAGGTATGATTATAAATTCGCAAATATTTTCGTTGTTAATTATATAAAGAGAGAAGAAACAAAGTGTATTTTAAGTGCTAGTGCGAATGACAGCTATGCTTGTTACGGTTTTCTAAATATAAAAATGAGATTTAACGCGCCCGGAAGCAAATGATGCCCAATTTTGTTGCTTCAAGTGCTTCAATTAGCGCTTTATTACCTTCAGCGCGTCTTAACGCCTACCGCAAAAACTTGCGTTGCATATATCGCAATTTACGTTGTTGGCGTCTGGCATCTAACAGCATGGGCGTAGCCAGCATTTTATTTCCAAGGTTTACCTCAGAGGCACAGAGCTCACCCTGTTGATGGCACTGCTAGCCAAGGCTGCAATTATTCTTGTGTAGAATTGAACACCAAGTTAAAAGGAGGCTAAGAAAGTGAGGGTCAATAATTTATTAGAAAGCCGCGACCCCCCCTTGCCCCTTATCCAAGACGGCTAAATAATTGCGGTGCCGCAACGCATCAAATTGGTGTATTTTAACATAAAGCACACCCGTATATTTATCTGCATTTAAAAGGAAATTGGCAAAAAACAATATGTTTCAAATTACTGACCAATTCATTAAATGCTTTATATTCTTTGAAATGCAATATGAATTATAATTTTTAGGGCATCGCTAAGACGTGGACTGGCCTTTTCGTATTCTTTTAAATATCCACCTCTCACCAAGATGGGTCACGTTAATAGCCAAGTTCAACTACCACCGGAACCAATGCCGTCTACAAGCCAACACGCACAGGTAAATGTCACTAAAAGTTATTATCATTATTTAGTATTAGTACCGAGGTGATCATACTTTGCTAGATGTCAGAAAAAAAATATCTAGATGAACGTGGAAAGTAAAACATTATTTAAATACTAATTCCAACCAAATCTACCAGTAATCTACCCTTCTAGAGAAACCAATTACATATTTAAATATGCCAATTACCGATCGATTACATAATAATATCAAGATCATAAAGTATATAGATTTTATGTTTTCATTAATAAATATATCGTGTAATATTTTTTTTCTAATTCTAGTTGCCAAGCGATACTCCATCCACTGCAAAGAAGGTAACAATATTTTTCCACGTCATCGTCATAACTCCATCCCATTACAAGTACGCTGCTGAGCATCGCATTGAATACCACAAGCAAATCACGTTTCTGAGCAACCCGTATCTTTAACCAGACTGTCACACCATCTAGTGAAAAGCCATTCTAATCTTCGTTTACCGGTTGTTAATTGCCTCGCCTACATGCTTAGTGGCCGTAAACACGGTCGCTGATCTTAAGATCCTGGCTTTGGATCGCGGGTCTAGCCAAAATTAGCTCTTTCGTTTTTCTGTCAAGCATCTCTCTCCGGTCGTGTCGGATTACCATTCCATCAGACTATGAGAGCGAGGGAATAAAGAGTGCACATATGCTGGCGCATATACTCGAACAGTAAAATTCTGTCTTGCGCAAGTTACTAGTATCCATTGAGACTTGCCGCCATAAACGAAATTCGGTCTGGAGGACATTTTTATTATTACTGGTACAAGGTTGCCACTGGAGCCTTTATTTCCCATTCTATTGTCGGTTCTTCGGGTTGTATGACCGGCCCCTTACGGTCGGCTTTGGTTTGAAAATATACAAAATGATACCCACTGTATTATACTGTACTCGTAAATAATACACACCGGAGCCTCTAAGTAAGTATGGAGGAATACCTGTGTCAGGAGGCATCACTCTTCCTAATAATATTATATATTGAGAATAAACCAAGGTGATATAATTTTGGGGTGTGTGTGTGTGTGTGTGTGTGGGGGGGGGTGTGCGTGTGTGTGTGCGAATGCATGTACGTGTGCATATGCGTGTGCACAGGCGTGTGTGTGTGTGTGTGTGTGTATGTGTGTGTGTGTGTGTGTTGTGTGTGTGTGTGTGTATGTGTGTGTGTGTGTGTGTGTGTGTGTGTGTGTGTGTATGAGTGAGTGCAGGTGCTTAAATGAGTGAGCATATCTATTATTTTAACTTTATCTATTTTAGCTCATTACTAAGGAAAAAGACTTTATCTATTTTATTTAATAAACAAATATATATTTTGTGAATATATTATTCAATTAACGTGGTATAGAATGGTTTCTGTGCTGTGGTAGTTTCATTTTTTAAGATAGTCGGTTTGTATTTTTTTAGAGTTGGGCCGATTAGACGCCGACTAATCGGTGAAGCCGATTAATCGGCCTATTTGTAGTCACCGATTAGTCGGCGATTAATTGGCTAAAACGGCCGATTAATCGGCTTTTCATTTTATTAATTTCAGCAAAGGTTTTCGTGATTTTCTGCGTGGTAACTGCGGCTACATTGATATGAGTAGAGCTTTAAATTTAAGAAAAGTATAGTTTCTCTCCAATGCGTAAACTCACGTTATATTTATAGGTAGATAAATCAAATTAATAATAAAATAAGTAGGTTCATACATAATTTTTATTAAAAAATCAGTCTCACATGTTTTAATATTAATTATTCTGGACACAGGAACTTTGATAAAAATAATCAGAGGTAGCTATTTAAAACTAAACAAAAACCTAAGTACTTACTATTTTAATTCTAATTTTTAACTTTTTCTAATCGTAACGCAGAGTAGTGACACAACAAAATAAAATATTAATAATATTATTCTCAATAAACTTTTTAAAAAAATTTAAGTCTCTCCCTTTGCATAACAAAAAAAAACTTAATTCTTGAATAAAGTTTGTTAAACTACACGCTTATAGATTTTTAAAAGACAAATAGAACATACTTGTTTCTGTACTTAAAACTAAATTGTTATTGTTTTTGTACTAAAAATTAAATCAAATTGTAATTTTCTGTACCTAAAACTACATTAAATGGTTTTTTCTGTAATGTTATTAAATAAAGAATCTATAATCATCTAATAATTTGTTAAAAAGAAATACTCAATTTGAAAAAGTATTGAAGGCTTTTTAGAAAATATTTAATTTCTTTGTTATTTTTAACCAGTGGCAAATTGTGATGCAAAAAGTCCAAAATCTCAGCCATTGCTGGTTGAAGTCGATTTATTTTTGTTTCGTAGATACTAGATATTCCCTGCCTCAGAAAAAAGTCTCTCACTATACACAGAGCTGGCAGCAAAGGAAAACTTTGGCTAAACGGGGCATTTCTGGATATCTGGTAGATTTTTTGTTCCACCATTTGACTTTATCATCGGATAGGGATCGGCTGGGCCGATTAATTTTCACCGGGATATTGTTCACCGGGATCGTCCGCTCCCCTTCCCATGCTGGACATACCGCGAGTGTACGGGATGCAGAGTCTTAGTCCCGTCCACCGTAGTGGAAGCAGTTCGTCTTCGCCTCGCGTCCGATCTTTCACAGATTATCACCGAAGCACCGGTAGTTACTTGTGTAAGTCTGTAGGTGAGTCTTTCTAATCGTCGTTGCATCAAGGCTTTGAACTAGCAGGATTGCATCAATAACGCGTTTTGCGTTCATGGCGTTTCTCAAGTCGAGTGCTCCATGTCGCCAAATTGTTTTGCCATTCCTGCGGCTTAATTGATTCGAGCGCCTCTTCCGCCGCTGAGGGCACGGATCCGGTTGCGTCCATGTCCAACAATATGTCCAAAGGTGGAAAGCGAGCCAGGGTTTTCGTCGCCTCAAAGGATATAGAGCGATACCCTCGTATGATTCGTATGGCCATCCGCAGCTGGACACTGTAGATTTTAGTTCTACAGCGTCGGAGGGCCAGCCTTTTTGCCCATCACTTTGCCGACCCTGAAAGTTTTTGGAACTGGCCACTGGATTTTATTTTATATATATTTTATTAATTTGTCATTTGTTTACGATTTGGCGGCAAATTGAAAATTGTCACGTGAGCATGAATTTAACGCAAGAAAATTTTCGGATGTCATTTAAGTTAACAAGATAGTTATGATAGGCTTCAATTGGCCTTTCACAATGAAGCCCAATCTCGTGCCACTGTTTACAACTGGTTTAATGAGTATAAACGTGGTCGCACTAATCTCACCGATGATCTGCGTCGGGGACGGCCTTCTACGGCGACGACTAAAGATAACATCAATGTTGTGCGGCGTATGATAGGCTGACAAAAGAGTGACTTATCAGCAGATTCCGACAAGCTTAAACATCGTTATGAGTCAAATACACAAAATCCTCCATGAACATTTAGCGGTCAGGAAGCTTTGTGCCCAGTGAATACCTCATAATTTGACAGAGGCCCAAAAACTCTGTCGTGTTGATTGGTGTCGTGAAATGGTTAAAAGATTTAACGTAGATGAATCAAATGCTGTGTTCGACATACTTACGAGTGACGAAAGCTGGATTAATTGTTATGATCCTAAAACTAAGGGACAGTCTGCTGTCTGCTGACTGTCTTTCCGAGGAGTTGCCAACTACAGTGAAGAGAGGTCGATGAGTGAGAAAAAAGATAGTGGCCTCGTTCTTCGTAAGGACAGGTCATTATGCATCAATTGTTTTTGAAGATCGAAAAACAGTTTTTTTATAGAAGAGGGGCATCACCAGTGCTGTCATCTGCATAGCAATGAATGTTACGGGTTCGTAACATATCATTGATATGCAGAAGAAACAGCGTTGGCGATAGCACGCAGCCTTTTGGAACACCAGCATTAATAGGCTTGTAATCGGAGCTTGCACCGTCTACAACGATCTTGACGCTCCGATCTGCAAGAAAGCTGGTGATCCAATTGCACAATTTCTCGGGAAGCCCATAGGAAAGGAGCTTCGAAAGAAGCGCTTTATGCCAAACCCGATCGAAGGCCTTCGCAATGTCCAAACTAACGGCTAATGCCTCCCCCTTGGACTCTACTACCTGCGAGTTAGGTAGACCAAAAGATCACCAGCTAACCGACCACGGCGAAAACCGTATTGGCGAGCACTAATCAGCTGGTGATCCTCAAGGTACCTCATGAGCTGGCAGTTAACAATAGACTCCATTGTTTTGGAGAACAAGGAGGTCATAGCGATAGGCCGGTAGTTGGACGGGTCTGAGCGGTTGCCTTTTTTAGGGATCGGGTGGACGAAAGCCGTATTCCATGATTTTGGGACTACGCCTAGGGAGTAGGAGTACCAGAAAAGACGCGTTAAAACCGGTACCAACTCTGGAGCACACGGCCTCAGCATAATTGGGGGGATGCCGTCAGGCCCACTCGACTTATGGATGTCCAGGGAGAGGAGTGCTTTGCGAACCGAGTGCTGTGTGAACTGTACTTCCGGCATGGAGCACTCACACCGCGGGATGGTCGGCGGCGTACTCCCCCCGTCATCGAGAGTCGAGTTGGACGCAAAGAAAGAGCCTAGCAGATCGGCTTTCTCCTTTGCGGTATGGGCCAATGAGTCGTCCTCCCTGTGCAGAGATGGAAGAGATGGCTGACAGAAATTCCCCTGCACAGCCTTGGCCACGACCAGAATGCACGGCTTCCAGAAGGAAAGCGAACTAGTTTCTCGCCAATTCTGCCTATGTGCTCTGACATTGCCTTGCCAATGACTCTTTTGAAGGACCTAGCGGCGGAATTATACTTCTTTTTTAGAGCGCTGGTGTTTACATCCCAGGACGCTGATGCGTCAGCCCAGACTTGGTAGCACTCCTGCTTATAGCATGATGCTATTTTACAGGAGCGACCAAACCATGGCTGATTTGCCTCCAATGGGCACCACAGAGGAAGGAATAAAAAGTTCCATACCCTGAAGTACCACACCAGCAACAGAATCCGCAACAACGTTGGGATTGTCCGGTGAGAAGCAAACCCGCCCCCAAGGGTAGGATGCAAAGAAAGACCGCATCCCATCCCAATCGGCTGACCTATAGTGCCAAACACGGCGGCAGCCTGCAGAATGCAACTGCGATTTCAGCGTGAGTGGCACCACACTCCGGATAAGACAATGGTCCAAGGAGCCTAAAGGGGCGTCGACAGAAATCTGATATCCGTCAGGATGAGAGGTCAGTAGAAGGTCCAAAAGGGAAGGTGCATGATCCTCCACATCTGGAATCCGCGTAGGCGAAGTAACCAGTTATATCAGACCATATGCCAAGGCAAA